TGGGTGCGCAGGGGCGCGAGGCCTGGCCCGCCCGCTGCAGAGGGCCTGGCCGGCAGCCCACCGCGGACGCCGGGGGCGGGGGTGAGGAGCTGGGCTCTCTCGCGGTGCCCCGAGTTGGCCGGGGACGAGCAGCTCGTCACGGCGGGCTGAACCAAACGGGACGACGGGCGTGTTGCTTTAGCCTTTTTTCGGTTTTTGGTGGGGTCTTGTGGGTTGAACCCGAGGCCTTCGCGCCGAGCTTCGTCCCCAGGGCTCTTTTATTTTAACGCAGGGTCTCGCTCAGGTCCCCGGGCGCGGTTTGAGCTTCCGATCCGCCTGCCTTAGCCTCCCAGGGTGCTGGTGTTGCAGGCGTGTGCCCCCAGGTCGGGTTTATCCTTTGTTTTTCAAGCGTTCTAACGGTGTGCAAGAATTCCTCGGACGTCCCGTCACGGCAGAGGCTTTTCTCTCTGTCGTACCTGGCCTGTCAAGGGTTTCGTTGTGTTTGAAAAGTAGCAAGAGTTGATTTGGAAAAGCTGCAGGGAGCAGCGGCGCGGCTGGTTTCCATGTGGGCTACAGAGTAACAGCGCAGTGCCGAGGTGTAACCAGGAGCCTCCTAACCTCGCGGTGGGGTTTCGGCTTCCTGTGTCTGGCGGCGGGCAATCTCGGGCCGCGCCGAGAGTGTGTTCCCGGGAGCCCACGGGGATACCCGGACCCTCCCTGCACGCTGCTGTGTGTGGCCTCGGATAAGTAATCTTCCTGTCCCCACCTTGCCCTGGGTGACGCTGATGCCGTGCAGATTTGCAGTCTTCCTGTAACTTATTAAAGGATTGCGCCTAAAATAGAACCGAAGTGAGTAGTTCAGGAGCCATGGTGTGTGGTTTCTTTCGGTTCAGTATTTTCATTGCTTCCTGGATGAAAAGTAAAACTGTCAGGATTTGGTTGTCACACTTCGAACGCGGAGTTTGAGCCAACATTCAGCTGGTGATTGCTGCGGACGCCTTGCGTGCCCGCTTGATCTTCCCTGTACGGTGCAAACAGAGGGCATCGCCAGGAGCGGGAGGAGAGCGAGGAGCTGGGGGCGCTGGAGAGACCAGCAGCTTCAGCCAGGGAGCCGGAGGCCGAGGCCCAGCCCGAGTGACGAGACGCAGGGGGAGCCTGGAGATGCGCCTTGGGGGCACGTCCTACGCCTGCGACGCCCTGTGCAGACATTAGCCTCTGGGAGCCAGGATTATAGCTGCATCATTTTGAAGTAAAAACATGGTTGGTTGACTCTTGACTATTATGTAAAACTCCAAGGCAGGAGGAGAGAGTAATCTCTGAGAGGATGGCGGGGACTGAGGTATTGGCCGCAGGGGTGAAGAAAAGAGGAGCGCGGTTCTTGTGAGATGTGGCACGCTGGGTAAAGGAGCAGCTGGCGGGAGATGTCAGAGGTGGCGCCCTGGTCAGCAGAGCGCTGGGAAGAACGCGGTGTCCACTGGGGTTGGAAACGAGGCAGGGGTGTCATTAGGGCAGGACAGAGGCTCCATTCTGACCACGTAGCATTTGAATCGCCTGTGAGCCGACCGGCCAGCTGAGTCCAGCCAGCAACCAGGTATTCATGCGTCCACAGGTGGACGGAAGAGCATCCACCCTTTGCCCGATGCTGTTCCTTGCGCTGGAACAGCCGGAGCCGCAGCAAGACAGATAGGCTTCCTGTTCCTGCTGGCAGTGAGGCCCCAAAAGAGAGTAAGTGCCTAGAGAAAACAGGAGTGACTGGTAAAGCGTCTCCTAGGCGGGAGGACAGACCTTCAGGACCTGGTGAGAGATGGGAGGTGGCCTTCCAGAGATGGCCTCTGCGCTGGGACTGCAAAGAGGTGAGGGCAGTGCCTGAAACCAAAGGGGCCAGCAGGGCAAAGGCCTGAGGGCGAGAAGTTTGTTGCCTAAGGGGACAGCCGAAAAAAAAAAAACGACCAACACGAAGGAATGGCTGCCAGCCCAACAGTCTGTGAGGCTGAGGCAGGAGGATGGCGAGGATGGCCTGGCATTAGCAATGTAGCAAGACCCTGGCTGAAAATTTTAAAATAAAAAGGGGTGGGATGCATTCCAGTGTAGAGGCCCTGGGTCCAGTACCTCAAAGAGAGAAAAAGGAAAGGGTGGGAGGAGATGAAGTCCACAGCTTTGGTAAGATGCAGCCATACAGGGTTTTAAGAAGTGGAGTATCATGGATGAGAAGAGCGGCAGTGGAGATGAAAACAGAGGGACAGAGGAGTGGGTAGTGATAGGAGGTTTGGGGTTCTAGTTGTATAGGCCGGCACAGCCCATAGGAAGATAAGCTTCGGAGTAGCCACAGTTAAAAGTAAAAGCGTAAAATTTTAGTATATCCCAACATTGTTTTACATGTGGTCAGTATAAAAAAATTACTCAACGTTTTTAAATGTTTTAGATTCTTTCTCTCATTACCGACTGCTTGAAATCCGGAGTGTGTTTTCCACTTAAAGCTTATCTCAATACTTCATAGAATTTTCGGTTGAAACTGGTTTCAACCTACTTAAAAGTTTCACAAGCTGGGGGCGGTGGTGTGCGCCTGTAATTCCAGCTGCCCAGGAGGCTGAGGCAGGAAGATTGCAAGTTGAGGCCTGTGTCAAATTTTTTTAAAGAGCTGCAAATGGAACTCAGTGGTAGAGTATCTGGCCTGTGTGAGGTCCTGGGTTCAATCTCCAGCATCACAGAAAAGAAAAAAGTTTTTCTGGTAAGTGAATTGTGTGACAGTAATTTTTAAATTGGAAAATAAAAATTCAGTTCCTAAGTTAGCCACATTTCAGGTGGAGCTAGTTGCCACTGTATTGGGAATGAAGTCTTAATAGAACAAAATAATAGAAAATCTGACCTCAAAAATGTTTGGAACCAAGCCAGAAGCCTTAGATGCCAACCAAGCTAAGGGGGTGTGATTTTCCCTAGAGACGGGGTGAATAGCGAGTGGTTTTGAAGGGGGCCCAGACTAAATTATGCTCAAGGCTAGAAAGGCCCTTGGTGGCCACCTGGTGACTCAGAAGCAAGAGCAGCCCCTCTCCTGCTTTGACTTCGGCCCAGAGGGCTCGGAATTAGTGGTGATGCTCGAGGCTGTGCCCGGGAAGTGCGGTCCGTGGGCTACCGCGAGTCTGCACCTTGTCACCCGACCGTGACTTGTTCACAGGTGACAGGGAGAACTTAGAAACTTCCAGTGATCTGCCAGATTATTTTATTCTTGCATCCAGTACAAATTTGGGGCTTGTGTGCATGTCTTTTTTGAAATTCCCTTTTCTAGGAATATTTATCGAAGTATCATCTTTCACGACTGCTTCAGAAGTGATGGGATGAAGGGAATCAATCATATTCCAGACCTATCTAAAGTTTTAATACTTCATAGTGAGAAAGTCGCAGCTCTAACAGGAGTGGACGTCTTATTTTCTGTAATAGGTACCGTTTGCTAAGTGCCTCCGTGCACCAGCCCCTGGGCACAGCCTGTTACAGGGTCTCCTTCAGTCCTCACAGTTCTATAAAATAGGTATTAGTGGCTCCATTTTTCCCATGAGGAAACAGGCTAAAATAGACGAAATAAGTTGCCTAAAGTCACTAAGCTCATAAATCTTGTGGGCAGGGTTCTAGCACAGGTCTCATTCCAAACAGCATTCCTAGTCACATTTTTTTCACCATTATGTGTTCAGTATCTCGCAGATTTCCCAGCACAAATAATACAGAGGACACATGAAGTTGACTACGTTTCCCCCCCAGGGGGTCATGAGTAAATTTGGGACCAGAATGAGGGGAGTTAGAGGTACGCCAACAGCATCAGGCAAACCCATTCTTTTCTATGACAGAAACAAGTCTCCTTCCCACCTAGATGTTTTATAAAAACTCCACAGATAAATGCAATAACCCAATAGAAAAATGGGTAAGAGGCTTTTGTAGTCACACCACAAAAGAAGCTGTCCGCATCACCAGTAAACGCAAGGTGTTCAGCGTTGTTTAGTTAGGGAAATGCACATTAAAGCCCCAATTAGATACTGTTGCTCACCCAACTATAGTTAAAATGGAAAACCCAGAAAACACCCAATGTTGGCCAAGAGTTTCAGTAACTGCAGATTGGGATATGTACTGTTATGACCACTTTGAAAAATTCAAAGTTCAAAAACGGGACAAAACCAAACTAGATTCAGGGATAGAGGCTGAAGTAGTAAAACTGTAAAGAAAAGAAATAACTTAGAGGGTCCTGCTTAGGAAGGAATACAGAGGTGCTCCCAGGGTGCTTGGCAGTGTTGTTTTCTGACCTGAAGGGGGTTTCATTCATTTATTGAGCTATAGATTGAGGAGAAGGGGTTGGTTTTTGGAGTGCATATCATGATTTAAAGTGTTTGCTGAAGTTTTTTCTAATAAGTACGAAAAAATACCTCCCAGGTAGTGCTGGATACACGTTAGCAACTCTGCATTCCCTGACTGAGCCAGTTTCCCTGTAAACCGATTACAAATGCAGGAAATAAGGTCATGTGCACTTTGCAGGTGGCAGTAATGAAGAAGGAGGAGGAGAAACAGAAACAGATGCAAAAGATCCTACGGAACCCGAACCCGAGGCAGCCTGGCCGGGGGTGGAAACCACAGCTGTTAGAAAGGAGCGGACAGCATCCCCGGGCGTTAGGCTCTGGCCACTCTGAGCAGTGACCCGGGCGTGGATACAGGGAGCACTCTTGTTTCTAGCCCTTGGCAAGCTATTGAAACACCACACACAGTTTTTACTGATGTCTGATTCAGCATGAGAGGAAAAGGGAAAGGATTTAAAGATGACTGAGATGTTGAGCCTGGCTCAAAAGTATTTTTTGCAAGGCATGTGATCATAGCTACGTTGGAGGCTGAGGCAGGATTGCAAGTGCAAGGCTAACCTAGACAACTCAGCAGAATCCCGTTTCAAAAGTAGAGGACTGCTGATATGCTTAGCATCCCCACAGCCCTGGGTTCCACAAAAAGCAGAAAAGGGCTTTTTAAAATAATTATGACTCTCTCCTATCCACCCAATTTTACTGTTTTTCTTGTTTACTTTTCTAGGTTGGGTTTTTTTTTTTTAACTTCCTATACATGTAAGAATAAATACTCATATTTCCCCACTTACTATGCAAAAGGCTGGATTCTTACATACTCGGCTATAATTTACACCTAAGGTATGTGGAACTTGTCCGTATTAGTGCGTAAAAGATGACTTCACACCCCTGCAGACTATGAACCAGTCACTACCCAGCTGAGGGACACTGAGTTTCTAACCTTATAATCTAATTAGTGCTGGAATGAGCATCTTGAATGTACATCTTTTCTTGATTATGTAAGTGTGTCTCCTTTCAGTTCTTGCGGGTGGAACTGCTCTGCGAAAGGACATATGTATATTTTTAATTTGCTTTCTGTGTACTTAGTATTTCTCTGACAACACTGCTCATGGACTGTTACCAGGTTTTCAGCTTTTTTTGCCCCCATACTAGGGATTGAAGTCAGGGAGCCCTGAGCTAAGGTACTTAGCTCTGTTTTGTTACTTTAAAATAAGGTGTGGCTAAATTGCCTAGGTTGACCTCAAACTCTGAGATCTTCCGCCTCAGACTCCTGAATAGTTAGGATTACAGGAGTGCACCATTGTACCTTGTAAGGGCAGGTTATCTCAAGTTCTACTTAGTGCTTTTAGGGTCCATAACAGAAATCATTTCTTTAAACTGAAGAAAAAAAATAGCTTTCAGTTAGCAGTGTTTGTTCAGGATACAGGAATTCCTTGTAACTGCTCCTGCAGCTACCCACCCACAAGTATGTTTTTTTCACAACTAGTTTTTAAAAATGAGAAAAAGGGGGGGGAGTTATGCAATCAATCCAAGTGTCCAGCACACCTGGAAAGAGGCCAGGAATGACTGCAGACAACTCCACCTACACTTTTTTTTTTTTCTTGGCAAATTTGCAAGCTTAGCACAATCTAAAAAGATCCTTCCGCCTCTGTTTGAATTTCGAAGTGTCAACCTGGGAAGAGCAAGATATTATGAATTTCAGAAAAGAATTTCCCTAATGTGTTAGGAACTAAAATATGATTTTGATTAATCTTGTCTGGGCACTGAGAAGGTACAAGGAGGGCGAAGGGGAGGATGTGAGGCTGTAGATTGTACCTGCCCTGGGGATTCTAACAGGGTAGAAAGAAAGTTCCGGGAATAATTATGGAAGTTACTCGGAGCAAAACTAATTTCAGGAGAAGACATGGATGAGATGTGGCATGCTGGCTGTCTCACATGCCAGACCTTGCTCATTTCATAAATCATGGCTTTGTACAGCATCTTAATCTTATAAGCCCAACTGCCTGCATTCGGTCAAGCTATGTAATACATCAGCTATGAGTCCTTGTGGCAAGTCACATAATCCGCCTGTTGAGTAGCTTCCCTGGTCTGTAAAATAGGGGATCTAATAGCTTTTACCTTATATATGGTTTTGAGAGGGTTAAATGAATAGGCTCATGTAAAGTGCCTAGAAAAGTTCAGAGGGTAAGGGTACAAGTATTTGGTTTGGTTGAGGTGAGGAGGTTGGTTAGGTTTTTGTGCTGGGGATGTAATCCAGGCTTTGCATATGCTAAGCATGTGCTCTCCTAAGCTCCACCCTCAGCCTCACATTAGTAACCATCACTGTCAGGACAGCTGTGTTAGCCGTGCTGATCTATACAGATGTGTGCAACTATCTACTTCGTAACACTCAGAAGTAATATCTTTGGAAAGAATACTTCTGGGATTTTGGTCTCTCCCTTCTCCTTTCCCACCCTACCAAAAAAACCTAGGTGATCTGTTTCTTAGTTAAAATTAGTTTAAATGACTTTGATTCTGAGAATGCTGTGCTACCTGTTGATTTAACTACTAACATGTAGAGTAATGTATGATCTAGAACTTGGTGTCAGAGAACTGGTCAGTGTAGATACCCAAAATGGTAAAGTGACTTATGTGCTTCATTCATTTACTTATTTTTTCAAGAAAGGGCCTGCTCACCCTTTCCATTTTTTCTCACTTTTCCCTTTTTAAGTTTTTGTTATTACAGAGCCCCCTTATATCACTGGGAACAAGAGTAAAGTTAGTCACCCAGGTATCTCTGGTTAGGAAATAGTGTCACCTGTTAATCAAACTTGGCTCAGCTTCAACTTCATTGTCAAGATCATCGATAAATTTGTTGCTAATGTGCTACAGATGTGCACATTCCCATGTCCATGGGCACATAAGACTAGTTCTGTCATCAAGGCACAAAAACATGGGTCTCTCAGACCCATGTTTATGCTTTGGAATATTTCTATGGATGAATTCTTAATTTTAGTTTTATGAGTTTTATTACATTAAACAATGAGTCTTTAACAGGAAAATAACAAAGTACTGAATTTTTAATATGTATTGAGTTTATAAAAACATCAAAATTTTCAACCTTGACTAATTTTGGTGTACTAAGTCTAAAAAAGAACAACGCAAATCGATTCTTATATGAACTTCAATGAAAATACCAATAGCACTTTACCAAAAAAATCTTTACTTCAGTTGTCACACCTACAGCAATCTGCACACATGACAGCAGCACCTTCCATAAGCACATACTGCTTACACTGACACCACATGTGTTTTGCTTTCCTTGCCTTTTTGTAGGGCATACTTGACATCTCAGTGGTTTTCCTGTTTTGTCAGGAGGTTCTTATTATACAGTGTGTAGTTAACAGGAACACAAAATATCAATAAAATAAAAAAATTTTAATAGGTATTGTGTTTAGAATGAACATGATTTTTACATCAGCTGTGTACTTGCTTATAAAACCTAAAAGATAACATCAGAAATAAACTTCTATATGAACTACAATATAAACATAAAAGTCTAGCGCAGAAATAACTTGCTGCAACTGACCCAAGGCAATCTTCACACATGACAACTGCATGTTCCATACACAAGTATCACTTACACTGATAGCACATATATTTTGTTTTCCTGTTCTTTCTTATAGAGCACAGTTGACATCTTTCTTGTTTTCCTGTTATCATAGTAGGTCTTGTGATGCTGCGCCTACCTGTTCACCTGTTAGCTCAACAGTGTGCTCCACAGTTCTTTTGTGTTTTTCCCTGGGAAGAAACATTTTGTTTTTTTTCTCAGCTGTAAATGATCTATGAGCTCCAGTCCCAATCCTCTAGGAAGATTTCTCAATGATATTTTGTACTTGTTATTCTCTTTGTCAACTGTCAAACTATACCACACATTCAGGATCAAGTAAAGCAGAACCACTGGCCAATAACTTGTGTTTCAAGTGACATCATAGTTGCTGCATAACTCATCAGTATCTACTCCACCTCTGGTTTTGATGGAGAAAATTTCTATCTCAGGCTTCCATTTTGTTGAGGTTTCCCTATCAATATTTCTGTCATGGTGAAATATTGACATCAGTAATACCAGGTTTTTTTCCCTTATTTGAGGCTAATGTTACATCTTTCTCAAGTTCAAAGATTGTACTATACAGTTCTCTCTTTTGAAATTGCAACAATTCATTTGGAGTTTTTACTGTGTTCCTGTGTACAGTTCCTGCACTTGTCAACTTATGCTCTATTAGCAAATGTAAGCCAATTGTTGAAGATTATATTCTGATTAGTTTGGGAGATGGGAGCAACAAATCTTCACAACATCATTTGCTTTACTATTATACAAATAAGGACTTGAGTTCCAGGATAAATGTCTAAATTGAGAGCATACTAAGTCTTTGTATCTACAAGGGCATAAATTTTTATGCCCTATTTTGACCCATCACTGTTCAATACATCTTTTACATTCCTGTGATTACCATGGGAAATCCCTGCTAAGTATAGCAGACCTATGAATGCTTTCAGTTCAGCTAGTGCCGTATCATAATAAATACGTTTTTAATATGGGTATTGGTGCACAAACATTTTACTTGCATTTCAACCTTTGTGTAGTTCACAGCATCTTGTAGCATTTCATCTGTTACAATTTCCAATGTTGAATGGCAGTACTGACATTCTGTCCAATATATTTCACTCCAGCCAAGACGCTCACTGTGTTTTCAGACCTAGTTCTAACACTGGATCATTCCATTTGGTTGCATGACCATTTCACAGCATTTTGACTAATTACATATGTATTCAGATTTCTGTTTTCTTGTCATCTGAATCACGGAGGTTTGCATGCCCTGTGTCTGCACCAGTCGATTCTTGCTGCATTTCACTGTCACAGAAACTTCGGTCCATGTGGCCAGTGTCAAAGTCATCATCATCATCCACCCACACCACCCTTCTGTTATGAAGGCAAGTGTTTTACCATAATGGATCATCTTCATCATCCATGCATGAGTAATCTGATGATTCACTTTTGACCTCCTCCAAAACTTGCAAATCAGGTTTTTCATGTGTCACTGTACTGAATTGGGCTGCTTCTACCAGAAGAATCAAAGCAAAACTTTTTAACAAACCCTGGAGTGGTGTGGGTCTATTGGACCCTCTGCAATGCTCAGGTAAACAAATGCAAAACCAGTTAGAGCATAAAGGTGGATCCAAATCCCACTTTGACACTTTTGCACATGTGCACACTCCTTGTTTGTCATACCAAGTGTGTAAACACAGATTGCTTCCTATATTCCTCAGGGAAAGGTACTGAGACACGCTGCCAGCTACTATAATGCTAAAGTACAAATTTACAGCAGAAAAGTAAGGGATGGGTCTGCTGGACCCAGGCTTATGCCTCTAGGGTGCTGTCACCTTTTCCCAACCATTTGCATATCTGCTTTTGCTCACTTTGTAGTGAACAACTTACTGTTTTATGGACAGAATATTTTTGTACTCAAAATTCATATGTTGCCAAGTGATGGAGGGAGGGGGAAGGGAAGGGGATGAAATACGTGTTATTACATGTACCCGCTCCACACAATGAAAGTAATCATTCTGTATTGCAAACATGGACTAATGAAAATAAAAGTTTTAAAACAACTTGTTGAAGCCTAACACTCAACATGATGGTGTCTGGAGATGGGACCTCTGGGTAGTAGTTAGGGTTAGGTTAGGGCCTGAGGATAGGGCCATCATAATGAGGTTAGTGGTTTTAGAAAAAGGGGATGAGCAAGCTGAGGCTAGAAGGTCACAAGTTTGAGCCCAGCCTAGGCAACATATCAATTAACAAAACCCTGTGTCAAAAAATAGAAAAAAGCTGAGGATGGAGATCAGTGCAGAGGCCTGGATTCAATCCCTGGGGTGCGGGGCCTCTGTACTCAGCATCATAGAGGAAGAGCCATGTGAGGGTTCAAGGAAAGATGACCATCTACAAGCCAAGAAGAGATCACACCAGAAACTGAACTGGGTGGCACCTTGATCTTGGACTTCCCAGCCTACAGAACCCTGAGAAATAAATTTCTGTTATTTAAACCACTCGGTCTATGGAGTTTTGTTACAACAGCCCAAGCCAGCCAAAATGATGTGCAGTGTGCAGTTCTCCACAGTTTCATAAAGTCCTTCCAAAAGGAATTGTCCCAGTAATAGTGTCTTGTCCTTGAGACTAACTGCAGCCAGTATGCTGTCTGTAATTCCTGCACAGTTTAAAAACCAAATGAACTGCCTGTGATCCCAGCACTTGTGAGGCAGAGGCAGGAGGATCATCACAAAGCAATCAAAGCCAAACTGCTACATAGTGAGACCCTGTCCCAAGAAAAAGAAAAACAAACCCACTTTATTCTCTATTTTTAACAGGTACATAAAAATTATGCATATTTACAGACTCATGATATTTTGATACAGTATACAATTCATGTTTAAATTGCATTAAATACATCTACTTAAATCTGTACCATGTCTTTCTCCTTTCTTTTAGCTTTGCGCTATATACATTATTGTTAGCTGTAGTCGTTCTACTATACAATTGCATACCAGAACTTCAAGCTCCTGTCTCACTATAACTTAAACCTATTTATCCACTCCCTGTCCCTGCCCTACTCTTCTCCCAGGCTCTGGAAACCACCATTCTACTCTAAACTTCTATGAGATCTACTTTTTTTATACTCTGCCTATTAGTGAGATCATGCAGAATTTTTCTGTGCTTGGTTTATTTCACTTAATGATCTCCAGATATCTATATTTTCACAAATGACAGAATTTCACCCTTTTAATGGCTGTATAGTATTCCATGGTGAGTATGTACCACATTTTTATCTTTCATTCAACAGTTGACAGACATTTTGGTATTTCCATCTCTTAGCTGTTGTGAATACATGCTACAATGAGCATGAGAGTTCAATGTCTCTTTGACGTACTGATTCCATTTCCTTTGGCTACATACCTAGGAGTGAGATGGCTAGGTCATATATTTAAATTTTTAAAGAGACTCCATACTGTTTTCCATAATCACTGTACTACATATCATAGTGAGAGGATTCCCTTTCCTCCACACACTATCCTGCTCTTGATGTCCTTTCATAGTAGCTATTCGTGCCAGAGTGAGGTGATACCTCATGGTTTGGATTTGCATTTCTCTGATGATCACTGAAGTTAGGCATTTTTTCATTTACTTGTTTATTGTTTGAATGTCTTCAGAAAACTGTCTGTTTAGGTCTATTGCTTTTTTTAACTTAGGAGACAGGGTCTCACTATGTAGCCCAAGCTGGACTCAGATTTCTAGGTTCATGCCATCCTCCTGCCTCAGCCTCTCAAATAACTGGGACTATAGGTCCAAGCCACTGTGCCTGGCTTACTGCCAATGTTAAATCATAATTCTTTGTTGTGATGATGGTTCTCATTTGATTTTTGGTTTTGCAATTGAGTTTTTTCAGTTCCAAATACATTTTGGATATTAATCTCTTGGATACAAACATTATACTTCTTGGATATAGAGATTATACTTCCTTCCTCAGAAGTATATCCTCCTATCTGTAGGTTTGCTCTTCTATTTTTTTTTTTCTCCAGTGCTGGAGATTGAACCCAAGGCCTCCTGCTTACCAGGCAAGCACTCTATCACTGAATTACATTCCCAACTCTTACCTCTTCAGTCTTGATTTTTTTCTAGTGCTAGGGATCCACCCCAGGGCCTCCTACATGCTGAGTGCTCTAACACTGACCTAAGTGCTCTAACGTTGACCTATAAAAACAGACCAGAACCTTTTTACTTTTATGTAATCCCATTTGTCTATTTTTACTGTTTCCTGTGCTTTTCAAATCTTGTAAAACAAAACAAAATTTTGCTCATTCTAATGTCCTAATGCCTTTCTCTTATGTTTTCTTTTAGTAGATTCACAGTTTAAAGTTTCACATTTAAGTCTTGAATCTAGTTTGAGTTGATTTTGTAACTGGTGAAAAATAGGGGTCCAGTGTCATTCTTCTGCATGTGGATGTCCAATTCTCCTGCATCATTTATTGAAAACAGTGCTCTTCCTCTACTGCACACAGTTAGCATCTTCCTGTAATACTGGCTGGCTTATATATACACAGTGGTACCTTGGTTTGGGAACACCTTTGTTTGCAAACAACTTGGTTCACAAACAGAATCATTTGGCAACATTTTTTATTTTTGTTTTCACACTCTACATCAGGGGACAAACATGACCATGGCCACCTTTCCCACACAAACCCAAATGTGGCCATCTTTTCCAAAATCATAGAACAAATTAAGTTTGTGAACTGAGGCACCGCTCATGTGGACTCACTGCTGGGCTCTCTATTCTAGTCCACTGGGGTATGCATCTCTTTTTAGCCAATACTATCCTGTTTTGATTACTACAGCTTTGTTGTATATTTTGAGGTCAGGTAGTGTAATACCTCCTGCTTTGTTCTTTTTGCTCAAAATAACTTTGACTATTCTGTTGCTGCTGTTGTCATGGTTTGGGGGTTCCATATAAACTTTAGAATTTTTTTCCTAGCTCTGTGAAAAATGCCATTGGTATTTTGATAGGGTTTGCATGAGTTTATAGACTGCTTTAGGAAGTATGATCATTTTAACAATATTGGTGCTCTCAATTCATGAATAGGAATGTCTTCCCTTTTTTTTTTTTGGTACCAGGAATTGAGCTCAGGGCCTCATGTTTGCCAGGCAGGCGCTGTGCCACTGAGCTACATCCCCAGCCCTGTCTTCCCATTTTTGGTTATGTGTCCTCTTCTGTTTCTTTCATGGGTGTTTTATAGTTTCCATTACAAAGGTCTTTCGCCTTTTTGGTTAAATTTATTCCCAGGGTCTGAGTGTCTTGCTTTTGCTTTGGTATCTATAGTAAATGGAAACCTCATATCTTGCAATACTGTTGAATTTGTCTATTAGTTCTAATAGTTTTTTGCTGCTGTCTTTGGTGTTTTCTATAAGCTCATGTCATTTGCAAACAGTAACAACTTGACTTCTTTTCCAGTTTGCTTGCTCTTTCTTTGCCTTATTGCTCTGGCTAGGACTTTCAGCGCAGTGTTAACAGAAGTGGTAAAAGTTTGCATCTTTGTCCTGTCCAGTATTTCTCCTGGGAGTGTCACACTAGCCGCTGGCATTTTCTATGTGGCCTTTGTTTTGTAGAGATATCCTCCTCCTATACCTCATTTGTTCAGCATTCTTACTGTGAGGGGATCTTGAATTTTATCAGATGCCTTTTCTGCATCTCTCAAGGTGATCACATGGTTTTTCTCCTCCACTGTGTTGACATGTTGTATCATATTTAATTGATTTACATATATTGAGCAATCCTTGTATTCCCGGGAAGAATCCCATTTGTTTAAGGCAAATAATGCTTTAAAGTAGATTTGGATGAAGCTCTCAACTATTTTTAGTTGAGTTTTTTTGTTTTCAGACTAGATACATGAATGCTTCATGCACCATACTTACAATATGACCCCATTCTGAATTTGTCTTCAGAGTGATTCTTGCTGGGAGTGGTGGCACACGTGCGTAATCCAAGTTCTCAGGAGGCTGAGGCAGGAGCGCCATTGTGAGTGTGAGGCCAGCTTGGACTGAATAGGGAGACCATGTCTCAAAACAGAAAAACAAACAAACAAACAAACAAATGTAATGATTCTTAGCAATGAATTTTATACCTCATAATGTTTTATTCTTATTGGTTAATGTCTGTTTTCTTTTAGTTTGAAGAACTTCCTTCAGCCTTTTTCCTTTCTCTTTCTTTTTTGTGCACATTCATGTCAGTGATTTTTCTTTTTTAAAATGTAAACCATTAATAGTTTATGAAAAAAAATTTAAAACAAAAGCTGCATATTAATATTACACACAAATGGAGACCTAAGTGACCCAGCGCAGTGTACACGTGCTGACATAAATTCAAATAATTACACATTTAACCAATTTCCATATGAACATATGAACATTCTGAAGCATACGAACATTCTGAAGTACATAAAAGCACTCCTACTTTCTATAAAACTAGAGTTAAAACATCAATTTGCTATAAGCATATAAAAACATCAAGTACTTTCTTGGAGCTTCGAGTTACCTCTCCAAAGCCATCTTGCTTGCATAAATAGTCCTTCTCCAATAATCAGTAGGGGCTTTTTTTCTCTCAAGAGGTTTATTCTGCATCCTAAGCTCAAGAAAACAGACCCAACAATTACACACTCTAATTGCAGCGTAACAACTTGATTGCACATAATGCTTTAAAGTAGGTTTGGGTGAAATTCTCAAACACCTTGACATATGTTCTTTAGGGAGTTGTACTAGAAATAACAAACTATAAGTCCCTTCAGTCCTCATTTTTTCATTAAAATGGACAAGTCTTTGGTTAAAGTTCTACATTTTGGGCATTTGTTACCAATAAAATGGTCCCTAAACCAGTAAATGATACTGATGTATTATTAGGTCACAAGGCTTCATTTAACCTGTTTCTGACGCAGTTAGATGCTATAAACAGTCATTTACTATACTGTGTCACTAATACTTTCAATCTATCACTTACAAGCTGAAAAATCCGTACTTCTTATCATTTCTCTGTGAAGCTTCTGTTGTAACCTAAACTGTACAGTAATTATACTGTTCCACAATATATGTGATAGTTAGAAAAGCATTAAATTTAGTTTATTCCGGTAGGTCAATATTAGATTGTAGGTAAATCTGCATTAACTGTAGTAGGTTGTCACATAATGTTTATTTAAAAACCCCAAAGCATTTCATGTACAAGAGAAGCTTTTGCAAATGTATAAAACAGTAGATATATAAGAAAAACACCAAACATACTTTAATAGAAAAAAAAAAAAACCCAAAAAGAAAAACAGCCTAACAAGGTGGAGCAAGCAGAAACACACTTCAGCAGTCCAAGGAGTAGGCTGCATACATAGCTGCTCTCCTGTAGCCTAGGCAACAGCCATAGGGATATAAAATGACCTTCTGTAGCAGTTAGCAGGAAACTAAGGCGCACTCAACAGCAGTACAGAGCACATTAACAAAAGCACACAAGAATGTGCAAATGTCTAGGATGGAACTGAAATCCTTTTCAATACAAAGCAAACACTAGAACTTGGCAATACTTCCCAAAGCACTCAAGCTGTATTACATACTCTTCTAAGTGACGAAAAGGTGCTAAGGAAAGTTAACTACAGATACAGCGGCTGCACAGTACCTTCTAAATCTGCAGTTTAGCTCTCAGGTTTGTCCATGAAGAATTAACTGCACTGAAATTCTCTAAGTTATATTTAACAATTTAGCTGTGAGAGTTTACCACAAAGAGATAAATACTGCCATGAAGATTATGAATCATGGTTTGACAATAATTGTAACACCAGCAGCCACTGTAGTTACGATGACAATTTCTGGTCTCATTTTTTTCATGGTTCAGGAACTCATCACAGGTACAGGAAACAATGCTTACACAGCATATGTGAACTTTAAAAAATTCATACACAGGACTCCAATTGCAGCAGCTATTCTAAATGCTTGTTTAAAATTAAAGCACTCATTAAAAAATTAATATGTAGGACCTTTAAGTAAAATTCTACTATTATTTATAAGTCTGAAATTGTAAGAATGAGTATTTAGAAAACTTGTACCTTTGAAAGTACCTTTTGCAGAAGAGAAAAAGAGACCGACTAATAACTATAAACGAATTCAACACTTAAGGAAACTGCATTATGGCCTTGTGGCTAGACAGTTACCTCTTTTTTTTTTTCTCCTAAAAGGAATCTTCCCCTTCCTTCCTTCCTTCCTTCCTTCCTTCCTTCCTTCCTTCCTTCCTTCCTTCCTTCCCTCCTTCTTTCCTTCCTTCCTCCCTCCCTCTCTTTCCTTCCTTTCTTTGAACTCCCAAAGCTTGATTTATAGAAACTGCTTTTGGAAGGTTATAGAAAAATTCTTAGAAAAACCAATTTCAAATATTAGTCACACTGCTGAAATACTCATCCAATATGAATAATCTCGTCATTAGTAAAAAATGGAATTCCTCTTAGCAAATGCCCCAGAGCTGTCTCGCTTAATTACAGCGGTTATTAAAATCCAAGCAGCTAAACCAGCAAATATTTTTGTAGCTTTACTGAGCACCTGTCGCTCTCTCCTGTTGCTCAAGAGGTGCCACCTTTGTCTGAGTGAGAGCAGACCATATCCGACAGACTACAACTAAGCTGACAGACAGGGTGAGAAAACCTAGCACTGACACGGCTTCTGAGAGGCACTGGTGCACAGGACAGCAGGCCTCACTAGTGTCCACTGGGGGCAGAGCATTTATTTTGCCTTGACTGGTTTTCTTTCTCACCAGTGAACTCTGATTTTGTGTTTATAATGATACCCACTTTTTAAAATCGTGTAGCATTGATGGCAGACAGAACACATCAATTCCATGGTCCACAGTGCACCTGCAGATGGCCTCCCGGCTGAAAGGGGCGGTCCTGTGCAGAGATCTACTAAGCAGTGGTTGAAAACTCATGCAAGAACTGTGGTCCTTAAAGTGTTCTGGAAGCCCTGTTACAGAGGAAGCGCGAAGCACATGTAAGTTGTGGACGTGAGAGCTGACATCCGCTGTTCCACTCTGGCGTGGATGGTGGCGGGGGATGCTCCCAGAGAACAGGTGGTCCTTGTGCCCGGAGGCTCTGAGTGAAAATCTGCCTTTGGGTTTCCCTTGCAGAAGGGCTGCTGCCTCCTACCCATCCATCACTCGCCAGTACCCTGTGCTCCGAAGCAGATCCGCACAGGCAGTGCGTGTAACCGGTCTGGGTGAGGACTCTACACATTCCCCACCTGCCGTCTCTGGAACCCTGGCGCTGCTTCTGCCTCTGAGACTGCAGGTACCAGGTGGTTGTGTGTTGAGTCACAAGGAGCAGAGCTGTCCCCACTTATTTCAGACATTCTCCGAGTTAACTGCGGTCCTAGTTTATAGAATGGATTAAGCCGTGCTGTAGCGTGAAGTGCACATTTGTGCGCGGGGAGGGAGATCCACCCCTTCTCCAGTACCAAGCTGTCCTCTCTGTCTGCTCCACCTTCTGCAGAAGCCAAGGACAGATCAAATGTACTCAAAAGTTGCATGTGGGCTCACCGGAGCTGCATGCTGTTTAATCAAATGCCATTTGGGGGCTAAATCGGAGCCAGCAGGAAAGGAGCGTTAATCCAAAAAGACACATTTTTCTTTTCTTGGAGGAAAGGGGCTTGAGCCACTTGCTGTAAGTTCTCCAGGGGACACACAAGCCCACGGCATCTTGCAGCCTCTTTTGCAGAAAGCGCCTCCTGACGGCTGTGCACGTCACACCCGAGCTCTCTCCTCTTCCAGTTCCACTTTCTATCAGGATCCGAGGAACTCGGGGTCTCTGCGGGACAGGTCTGGAGAGGGGGTCTTTTGTTCCCGCAGTGACACAGCGATCGTGATCCTTCCCAGTTGTTGTGGTTACTTTTCTCTCATTGCCGGGACAAAATATCTGACTCCCAAAATTAAGAAAGGAAAGGTTTATTTAGCCTACAGTTTGAGGAGGTTTCAATCCATACTCGGCTGGTTCCACGGCAGGGTGGCAGGGCAAAGGAGCAACACTTCAAGGCGGTACAAGACAGAAAAGCAGCAAGAGGGGCTGGGAATTTAGCTCAGCGGCACAGCGCCTGCTTGGCAAGCATGAGGTCCTGAGTTCAATTCCCAGTACCAGAGGAAAAAAAAAAAAAGAACAGAAAAGCAGCAAGAGCAAAAAGGGGGAAACAGCCGCAAGCAGCCTCTTTCCCTCCCTTAGACTGTATGCAAACTACCCGCCCCAGGATAGGGTGTAGCACTCACACCCATAATCCTAACATTGGACCACAGATCAACCATAAACTCTAGAAGCCCGCCCCATGACTGCATGAGGCTTTGTGGGGACATCCAGACCCACCATAACACCAATGCTTGTTTCAACAAGGTGAGAAATTTGGATAGCACGATTTTGGTTTCTCCTTGAAAAACTCTTTGAAGGAATGACCTAACCCCAGCTGTAAAGCAACCCTTTCTCCTGCTGAGGAGCCATGTCCCTGGCTGACATTTCTCTTTGACACACAAACATCTGTTGGATTTGAAGTCCACACTTTCACTGTAGCCTCCCCTCATGGCCAAAAAGATTCTGACCCCTGCCTTTGAAGAAATTCCACATTATCCCCCACTTCATGCATGGATTACAAGCTCTTCCTCCAACCAGAGAAGCAACTCTCTGGAAACACCGCAAAGCTGGTTGTAGGGTCCCAGGCCTCCCACCCAGCCCAGTCAGTGCTGGGGTGCAGGTACCGGGCGAGGACAGGCCGGCACTAAGGGTGGGGACAGCAGACACGGGCACCAGCCACTGCACGTCCCCTCCGCATCTCCCATGCGACAGGCTGATACAGATGCTGTATATGCTCCCAGATTTTGTGTGAGGGCGTCTTATTCTCTCCCTTGTTTCTAAGGATAGTTCTGCTGTGTACCTAGCTTTGCTATGTGCAGTGTTATTGTTGGGAGTTTATTTTTGCTTTCTCCCTTTTAGTGCTGCAGAAAAAAATCTGACGCCCCTCTCTCCTGGCTTGTTAGGTTCTGCAGATGTGTGAACTGGGTCACAGTTAGGTGTTATTTTCCCCTTTTCTCTTGGTGTGAGAGGCTTCTCTTTACGATCATCTTTGGAGCTCAATTGTGATGTCTTGGCATTGACTTTGACCTCCTTGTTTCTGGATATTTGAATACTTCTCTAGCTTTTGGGTATTTTCTGTTGTTATCTTTTTGAATAAGCTTTCTACCACTTTGGCCTTCTGATGTCCCTCTTGAGCCCCATTAACCCTATATTTGATCTTCTAGCACTTTCCCAAATTCCTGCAAGCGTTCTTCATCCCTCTTTATTCTCTTTTTTTCTCCTCCAACTGTGTCTCTTCAAACAGGCTTTCAGCTCATTAGTCTGTGCTCTGTTCGACCTGTCCTGCTACTGACACCTTTTAATTTGCTTAGGATCATTTTTAGCTCCAAGATTCCTGTTTGACTTCTTAAAATCACTTCCATCTCTGTTAGAGTACTCAATCATTTCTCTGTGTTCTCCTGAAGCTCATCTGATCTCCTTAAAACAGCTGTTGGAAATTTTCCATTCAAACTTCTTACTGGTTCTATCTGGCCAGTTTCTGGCACCGTATTTTTTAAATTAATTTTTGCTTTTATTACACGTTTGCAGTACACGCAATTTACAATCATGTTGAGAAGTAGGCACATGTACATATCTTGTTGTGTTTAAATCCTTTTCCCTTCCTTCCTCCTCTTTCCTTCTCTAATTCCTCTTTCCCCATTTTCAGTCTTATTGATACTATTAATTTAGCTCATGTTTATGGCATATGTTCACATTCATTGAGGTTATTAGGTTTCTGTACATGGAATATCTTTATTCTACTTATTTCTTTTTACCCTCCCTCTCTTCCCTTGCCCTTGATCTCCTGGACTCCTTTCCATTTACAAGAGTTCTATCTGTTGCCAGGTGTGGTAGTGCATGCCTATAATCCCAGCACTCAGGAGGCTGAGGCAGGAGCATTGCCAAGAGTTCAAGGCCAACCTGAACTGCATAGTGAGACCCTGTCTCAAAAAAAAGTTTCATCTGCTTATCTTTCTATTTACCCATTATTTTTTGTTGGCCTTGCTCAAAAGAGAGATATTATACAGTATTTAAGCTTGTGTGTCTACTTTATTTCACTCAACATTACATTTTCCAGGTGCATCCATTTTCCTACGAATGTCTCAAATTTGTCCCTTTATAGCCAGGTAGTGGTCCTTTGTCTTAGTTACTTTTCTTGCTGCTGAGACAAAATACCTAACAACCACAGTTAAAGAGCGGAAAGTTTATTTAGCTCAAGTTTGTAAATGTTTCAGTCCATTATCGGCTGGCTCTAAGGCAGGGTGGCGTGGCAGACAGGCACTGCGAAGGAGGAACATTCATAGAGGGCAGAAGGCAGCAAAGCAACCAAGGGACCTTCGCAGCTTCCTTCTGCTCTTTCTATACTCTGTCTAGGCTGCTGTGATTAGGCCAGTGCCAAATCAATCAGTGGCCTGGTTTAGTAATCACACACCCTTCCATCCAGCATGACTCACCCTGGAGCCCCACATATGCCAGCCCGAGGCTCTGGGGGAGGGATCATCTAGACACAAGCTGCGACCCCCACTGTACGCAGGCATCACATTTACCCAGGCATCTGTGGAGGAGTAGACAGGCTGCTTCCAGGCTTCAGCGATTACAAACCGCTGCTACAAGCACCGGTACGCACGTATCGCTGCAGTAGCGTGACTTAAGCTCTTGGGGGAAGACGCCTGGAAGCGGGACAGCTGGGTCAGACGGAATTTATAATTTTAGCCTTTTAAGAAATCTCCACGCTGATTCCCATAATGACTGTACTAATTTACACTACCACCAGCAACACAGGAGAGTTCCTTTTTCACCTTTTTCACCTCACCAGCATTTGTTATTTTTTGATTTCTCGATGATTTTGGTACTTTTGGACCATTAGATGAGGTCCCAGATCCTGAAAGCTCTCGATGCTTGCTGATGGGCAACTTTCTCTGAGCAAGGAACATTCAGCATTTACTCCAGTCTTCATGAGCTTGCGCGGTCTGTGCCTCTTTCCAGAAAGCGAAGCAGGGTGTGTCCTCTAAGCCTGTGGTACACTATTTCAACACTAGATGGCACCATAGGACCAGGTTTCGGGCAAGCCCAAGGGTGGTGTGCTGTCAGTTTCACAAATGGAGGGCACCCAGGCTCAGATTTGTCTCCAGCCTACGGATGATGTGTGGTTTGGTATGAATTTGGGGGAGCACCTAAAAGAAGCCTCTTCCCGGGGCGAGATTAGGCCCAAATGCCTCATGCACAGTCACCAGCCTGTGGTCAGAACTGCAGAATCTTGCCTGGCTCTGAGCAGAATCACTGAGGTAGAACCAGGTCCAGGATCGTATGTCACACCCCTGGCCATGGGAACCTTATGCTTTGTCACACACTGCGCCCACACCCCGCTGAGACCAGCACGGGACAGGGTAGGACCAATACCCATACCACTATGGGCTGGCTCCTGCTGAGGTGGACTTGCAGCCCAGTTTTACTGCAAAACACACATGATGCTAGATTGAATACAAGTCTGATATGCAGGGGCCACAGCTCTCTGCCTCACGGGAGATGCTCCAGGAGCTCCTTCCCTGGGCACTAGCCTGCAGCGGGGGGTCATTAGGATCTGCCCAGCACGTGTATTTTTGGGGATGGAGTTTTGCTCCAGGCTCTGCTGTCCAAAACTAAGATGATGTTGGTGAAGACAGTCCTTTGGCCACCAAGAATGTTCAGCTGGTCACACCTGAGTCTCCCAGCCACAAAGACCTGAACAATCTCAGATATACTCGGGCCTGTGCTGGCTACTGTACAACTGGCTGTGATGCCCGGCAAAATACAAGTTCATCTCACCAGGGCACGGGTCTCTGCCTGGTTCCAGGGCAGATCTAGAGATCTAGCTGAGAATACTGGCCTGGGAATAGCAGGGCTGCCCAAGGCTCGGGGAAAGGTGGTGATCTCAGCCCCTGGGCTCCCGGACCTCAGTCCATGGGCACAGGCCCAGGGCAGGGGTCACAGGGCTAAGCTCAGCACTGGATTTCACTGTGAAGGGCCTGGGTTTCTGGTCTAAGGCCTGAACTTAGCACCTTTTCCCTCCCTCAAGTAGAAAGCATTTCTCTCCACTGCTTGGAGTTGGAAGAGGAGTGACACAGCCAACTCTTTCCCTTCTGCATTTTTATATGCATCTTTTCTTATCCGGCCAAAACCAGACACTGTGGTATCTCACCTGACCTTCTTACCTTTACTGAAAATAGTTTAGTCCATAAAGGTGGTTTAGTGTTTGGAGGGGAGAACAACTGCTGGAAGATCTTACACACCATTTTGCTCTGCCTCTAAGAACTTTTTCTTCACATTTACACTATGAATAACTGACAAAAAGGTCTTACTTTTGGCCTACCTTGGCTTTTGTTATGCCTTCCTCACTAAGCATAACTATTTCTAGTTGTTCATTTTAAGGTGAGAGCCACGGAACTCTTCATTTAATCACTTAAAGGCCATCATAAGGTTAACTGGCCTAAGTACAATATTGTGTCTCCGGGACTAAGGAAGTCCAAGAAGAGGGGAAGGAAGGAATGGCCGTCAGGGGAAGCAGCAGAATGCACACAGACATCCACTGAAGTTCATCCCTTTTCAAGCTTGTGATTCATGATGCCCTAAACAGTGAGAACAGAAACGTCTGATTACAGATCACCATAACAGATATAATAAAGAACAAAACAAACATCTGATTTGCAAAAAGTGCAGTATCAGGAAAGCATAATCAAATGAGGTATGTCTGTCTGCAAAGTGTAACAGATTTCAACAAAAACCCCACCTTGAAGTATGTGAAGAAATCACTTTTTATAAGCATTTCTGGTTAAAGCAGGATTTATATCCCAGAAAAAGGCTATCCAGTGAGGTCTCAAATGGGATCTGGGTGCTCAGATCCCTTTTACGGTCATTAATATTGACTGTCAACTTGACGGGATTAGGAGTCACTGAGCAGATCAGTAGAAAACACTTCAGGGTGTGCCTGGACACATCATGGGGTGTGACTTCAGGGATCACATTTGGGCCCTGGTCCTTTCTTTCTGACACTCTTCTCCTGTGCTCTACATCCCAGCTGACATGAAGAAAGCAACTTTGCTCCACCATACCTTTCCACCATGATGTTCCTGCCTTGGAGCCAGCCAACCACGGACTAAACCTCTGAAACTGTAAGCCACACTAAACCTCTCCTCCCTTAGGTTTCAAGTATCAGGTATTTCGTCCTGACACTAGCAACAGGAAAGCTAATTAATACATTCTTAATTCCCACAAACATTACCCACAGATACACACACACACACACAAAAGAATCCTACTAAGCAAAGCTAGATGTAACTACGCTTAAAGTAATCTCTTGCTGATTAGCCCACAAAGTCGGCCATGTGATATAGACTTTCAGTTCTATGGTACACATTCCTTCCGCACATCAAAAAATATAGAAAGAGGTAAACTTGAGGGACAGATAACTTGGAAAAAAATAAAGAATATCAATAACACTATTAGGGAAATATCTCCTGTTTTAAAAGGTACAGAAAATATGTAGTGTGTTACCCTTTTAATAACAGATTATATATATGCATAGAAGTCTATATAGAATATACTTCTATACATATGTATATACATTCAATCTTACACATTTTCATAAATAAGCACTCAAAGCCTCCCTAAAATACAAGAAAAGTGATTACTGATTAAAATAAGCCTGTAGAAACTGCCACAGAGCACTATTTTTCTATGTACGGTACACCTTTGGATATTGTTCTAGTTTTGTTTGTTTGCTTGTATTTGTTTTGTGTGGTATTGGGATTAAACGCAGGCTTTCCCACTGAGCTATATCCCTAGCCCTTTTTTACATGTTTATGTTGAGGCAGTATTTCACTAAGTCACCCAGGCTTGGCTTGTACTTGCAATCTTTCTGTCTCAGCCTCCCAGAGTGCTGGTATTACAGACATGTGCCACCATGCCCTGCATGACATTTAATCCACATGAGTTAAACGCATTTCTTATTATATTTTTAAAAGTTTTCCCCACAAAAAGAAACATAAAGGCTACATAATTTTTGAGAACTTCAGAGATCACCTAAAAGAGTTTCCTTGGGAGTGGAGGTACAAAATTTCAATCCTTGCTCTAAGCATGGCATAAAAAGTCAATGAAGCTTCTCATCAATTCGCCTATCCAACTTTATACTCTTATTTTATTTTTTTTTTTTATACTCTTATTTTGAATTCCCTTTCTGTTGTGGTTTGAACATAGCCCCCAGGAATTCCTGTGTTAGAGCCTCACTCCTCGAATTCCTAGGTCCGGGTTATATGGAAGTGGGGCATTTGGGAAGAAACTGGGATCAGATGAGGTCACGAGAGTAGGGCTTCCATGGCAGCATTAGTGACTTTATAAGAAGAGGAAGCGAGACTTGAGCTTACCACACTTCTTGTCTCACCATGTGACACTTTCCGCCATGTTATGATAGAGCAAAAAAGCTGCTGCCAGAAGCTAACCCTGTGCCAGCTCCCTGCTTTTTGGACTTCCCAACCTCTAGAATCCTAAGGTAATTAAACCTCTATTCTTTGTATATTATGCAGTCTATGGTATTTAGTTATAGCAACAGAAGACAGACTAAGATACTCTGGGTACTATTTCTCTTGGTGAGGATATACACCATTGGTGCTGAGGCCGTGCTTCGTAAATACAGGTGTTAGACATGCAAGGCGGCTGATCACTCAGCCTGCTGTCAGGTAAACACTTTTGGCCTACCTTCCGTTAACTCCCTTACCTCTGGGCCGGAGTCACTGTGGGTTTTCAGGGGACTTCAGAAAACACTTCGTATTTTCTACTCTGTCTCCTGTTGCTGTCAACAATGCCCTGTCTCAGAGTTCTGAAGGCAGGCGCCATTTTCTCTTCATATTCCTTACACTGCTAGGGCTCAGCATGCTCCATGCTACCTGAGCGGAAGAGAACATGTCTAGGGCCTGGCACACAGTTTTCGTCTAATCCAAACGTGTGTGTTCCGGTGTGCTTCACATGAGAGTGAACGTGGCTTCATTTCCAGTCTTGTTTTAATGTTTCTGATTCCCAGCTGTTAACCTGCAGCTTCCATACTCGTTTCCCATAACCGTAACTACAACCTTTCCTCTCTGCCTTGTGGAAACATCCTTGACTCCAGCCCCTCGGGAAGCAGGCGCTTCCTTAGTGTGTGAGACAAAATTTAGCAAGGCAATCTGTGCTCTTTAAGGATTCCCTCAGTAACACTGGGTCCTGGGCCCTAGAGGGTTATGCTCCCCTAGGTTCAGAGTTTTCTCCAGACACCTGAGTGTGCTGCATGATGAGCTGTGCTTGACACACACCCGCTTTCATTCTGGTCTCATCTGCTCCGCGATACTGAGTAAGTCACTGAAGCACTCTGAGCTTTGTTTTCCTTATTTGTAAATTTACAGTACAAATGCTCACTTCATACTGTTGTGGGGAATTAGAAATGCTGGATGTGAAAGTCCCTGGCATTGAGAAGCTGCTCTAAATATAACCCTATCTCTTCCACAAAGTGATTTATGAATTAATGAAGAAATCAATGAGCCCCTTTCCAAAGCAGCAGTATTTATCTCAAGCATAGAAACCAATGTTTCCAGTTTCTGAAGACAGAGCAAACTGCGTCTCTTAGGAGCCTGCCTTATCCTGTCCCTAGCTTTGCAGCTCTGGAACAGTGCACTCTCGAGGTGTGACAATGTCCTATCAAAGCCACATTGTGTGTGCCAGGGATGGTGGAGCCTAAGGAGGAGTCCTTGTAGTACCCCATGAGATGTACTGTCAAGGCAAAGTCTCTGGCTACCTTCTGCTGACAGTGTGGAGGTGGTTGGAGTGTGTCCCCAGGAGGAAACACTTGTGGTGCGGTCCACAGCGCAGTCCACAGTGCGGCAATGTTGAGAGACAGTGGGATCTCTACACGGAGGGCCCACGGGAAGGTGATTAGGTCACTGGCGGCATTGCGCTCAGAATGAATGAGTGTATTTCCTGAGGACTCTGGTTATTTCCCAGGACAGTGGGTTGTTATAAAGCGGGACGAACTTCACACTTGATCCCTTCTTCATGCGGCTGGTCCCCTTCCTGATTCTCCGCCAACAAGGAGGTCCTCACCAGAGGCCTGGACAGTAAGGACTGCTAGCTTCCAAACTGTGAGATAAACCAGGCTCTGTTCCTTATAAAGCACCCAGCCTCAGCTATTTGTTATAGCAACAGAAAATGCTAATAGACTCTCCATTAGCAAATGTAAGATACATTGAGCTGGGGGTGTAGTTCAGTGATAGAATACTTCCCTAGCATGCACAAGGCCCTTGGTTTGATCCCCAGGACTGCATAAATAAATAAATAAATAAATAAATAAATAAATAACAAGGTGGAAAGCATATAGAGGGGCCAGGGATATAGCTCGGTGGCGCAGCACCTGCCTGGCAAGTGAGAGGTCCTGAGTTCAATTCCTAGTACCAAAAAAAAAAAAAAAAAAAAGAAAGAAAGTATATAGAGAAAGTGTGATGGCAACTTAATAAGGAGAAATTAATTCCAATGAGAGAATATAAAAAGGGGCCCATTAATTCAGTTAATAGAGATTTATCATAGATTTCTCTGCACAAAGCATTATGCAGACCGCAGAGATGCAAAAATTCAAATTATCTCACTTTTGAGATGCTAAGAATGCAGGGGAGACAACACAGAAAAAAATCCTTGCATGGGCTGGGGATTTAGCTCAGTGGCAAAAGCGCCTGCCTGGCAAGCGCAAGGTCGTGAGTTCGGTTCCCAGTACCGGAGAAAAACCAAAAAAAAAAAAAAAAAAAAAATCCTTGCAATACAATTGATAGAGACTGGTTTTAGTGATGTGTTCAGTGTGCTTGGGAAGCAGAGAGCAAAAGTGACTTACAGCTTCCACCAGGATGGGTAAGAAATGATGTTTGAGCTGGGGCTCAAAGGGGAGGTTATCACACAGAGATGGCGGGAAAAGGCAGACCACAAGGAGTTAACCCCTCTGCCTTCCCAAACTGGAAGAATTTAGGCATTCAGAAGTGAGGAACAGCTGGGAATTAGGGAACTGTGTGACAAAGTTAGGAAAATCAAAAGAAAACATGAGGTGAAGTTGTTTCACTGTTGTGTGGGTGAGTACAAAGACTTAGCGAACTGGGTTCTGTTTACGTTGATGTGAAACTAAAGACTAAAGACAGGGAAAAACATACAAGATCTTCAAAGCAGGACCTAAAATGGTAGAACTTCAAATTAAGATTAATCTTACAGTTTCATACAGTTGTACGGTGTAGCCTGGATTAGGACGCGCCATAAGCAAGGAGAGCGATTAGGAGACCATTAAAACAGCTAGGTGAGAGAGAATGAGACCAAAGAGGAAAAGGAGGGATGGAAGGGATAGCCAGAGGGGATGAATATCATAAGGCTGACTGGATTGATATCGGCAACCTGCATGTCTGAGAGAATGCGTACCAGTACCAGAAATAAAAAACATACGGCGCAACACTTGGGAGAAATGAGGAAGTCCCGTTTGGACACACTAATTGTGAGAATTAGTACGAGCGGCAGAGGGAGAGAAAGGAAAAGCGTGTGTAAAAAGAACTGAGATGCATCATGCGTATGTACCAGATCCCCAGGATGAATGTAACCCTTGTGAACAGCAGATACATGCTGATAAAAGTTGAAAGTTTAAAAACAGAGCATTCTTAGGACAGCAACTTCTGTAGACTCTTGGAAACCACAGACAAGCTGGGCCACATGGTTATGGAGAAATGGGAAGTGAGATAGCAGAGGCAGCAAACGTGACACTGTGTGAACTTTGGCAGTGAAGGAAAAGATGGCTGGGGATTTCCACTGTATGATGACTGAGGAGATGCGCTTCTCTGCAGGTTGAAAGGGAAAATGCAGAGATTTCAAGACTGGAGGAGGAAGAGGTGGTAATGTACGATGGAGAAAGGTCATGATATTAGAGGTACTGATGGAAGGGTCAGCCCTGGAAAGATATGAAATATTTCTGTGACAGCAACTTACAGGCACCCTAGAGAAAGAAGCGCAGATTCTGGGCTGGGAGTTCCATGGTAGAGTGCAACCCAGCCAGCATCAGGCCCTGGGTTCAACCCCAGCAAGTCTCAAATTCTATTTCACGTGCTCTCACTTTGTTCCTGTGTTTTTTTCTTATTTTTTTTTTTTTTACAGACCCTTGGCAGTTAATCTCTCACTGGCTTGCAACATGGTCTTCTTCGTAAGAGATGCTTGACTGAAGAGAGTGGGAGTTGTGTAACTACCTTCTAGTATTCCTGCTGCAGTGCGCTGTTTGTTCAACTACTGAAGATTTCATACCACAGAACTCTGTGACTCGCTCTTCAAAAACAGCTCTTCAACTTGGATAGAGGTTGATTTTTATAGACATTTTGAAAGTCACTAATGAAGCAACAAGGCCTTGAGAAGAAAAAATAAGAAAGTACCTTCAGGGCCTTAGACTTAGAAAGTACCTTCAGGGCCTTAGAAGATTGATTAAATAAGACACAAAAAAACCATTAACCATAAAGGGCAAATAAAAATGTGATAATTTGGACTATTAAACAATTACTAAAATTTGTTCATGAAAAGACACAATAAACTGGGCATAGTGGAGTGTCCTTGTAATCCCAGCACTTGGGAAAATTTGGGAACTACATAGAAAATCAAAGGCCAGCCAGGACTACACAGCAAGGCCCTCACAATGAACAAAACAAACAAAAAAGACACTAACAAAACAGTGAAAAGGCAAGTTACAGAATGAAAAAAAAGAAACTGGGTGTGGTGCTGCACACCTGTAATTCCAACAGTCAGGAAGCTGAGGTAGGAGGGTTGCAAGTTTGAGGCCAGCGTGGGCTATACAGTGAGTTCGAGAACATCCTGAACTACTAAGTGAGACCCTGTCTTAAAAAGACAAAAATGTTTTTTAAAAAGAGTGAAAGAAGATATATATACATATAAAGGAATCATGCTCCAAATATATAAATACATAAAGAATTTCTACAAATCTATCAGAAAGCTATCCTTATAATAAAATTGTCCAATAACATGAAGAGACACTCATAGACTATCATTTTAACATTTCTTTAGTCATCAAAAAAAAATCTCTGCAGTAAGAAACTTCTATATACTTGTCAAAAAGGTGTAAGATGAAAAGGAAAGAAAATCAAGTGTTGGCAAGGACTTAGAGTAACTAGAACTCTCATCCCCAACTGGTAGGAATATAAATTGGTATAACCATTTTGGAACACTGCTATCTGCTAAAGCTAAACAATGCATACCGTATGACCCAGCAATTCCAATCTTAAGCGTATTCACTTAAGAAACAACTGGACTCTATCCAAACGTTCTACTGTAAAGTGAATGAATACACTGGGACATAATTCACAAGGTATCACTACAGTGAGAACGAATAAGCCACAGCTACATGACTGCATGGTGAGTTCTACATACAATACAATGAAGCCAGAGACAAAAGAGTTAATACTGTAAGATTCCATTTATATAAAGTCCAGAAGCTGGGCATGGTGGTACATGTCCATAACTCCAGCACTTGGGAAGCTGAGGCAAAAGGATCACGATGAGTTCGAGGCTGGCCTAGGCTACATAGTGAGTTCAAGTTCAGCCTGGACTACATAGTGAGACCCTGTCTCAAAAAAAAAAAAAAAAAAAAAAAAATTAAAGTTGAGAAGCAAGCAAAGCTCATCCATTCTGTTAGAGAAAAGGATAGTGGTTACCCTTGGTGTTATATACAGGGTGCAGTGTAGCAACTGGAAGGAAACACAGGGAGGTTTTTCGGGTATAGGCAATGTGATTTTTTTTTGATCTGATACTGGTCACACAGGTGCACTGAATTTGTGAAAATTTACTGAGGTGTATAATTATGATTTGCACACTTTATGCATGTACGTTATACTTCAGCATTTTTTCAATGAAGTCCCAAGTCTGTTGTTTCATGTGTGAACAAGAAAAATTTTGCCATTTTTCTCTGATTTATCTATTTATTTATTTATTTATTTTATCAATTTATTAAAATTATTCATTCTTCTCTCTAGTTTCTTCCTTCCAAAGCTCCACCTGCCCAGTTCTGTACATCTTGAAATGTTTTAGTGATTTCTACACAAAAGACTCTTACACCAAGTTCTGGGCTTTGTGGTCCTTCCAGTTGTTAAAAAACACAGCTTGTCACCGGGCATGGTGGTGCACGCCGGTAATCCCAGCATTCAGGAGGCTGAGGCAGGAGGATCTTTGTGAGTTTGAGACCAGCCTGTGCTACAGAGTGAACTCAAGGCCAGCCTGAACTGCACAATGAGACCCTGTCTCGAAAAGACAAAAAAAAAGAAAAGTCCAATCCTTCAGTTCATGAGTGTGATGATTGGGTGTTCATGCCATCTGCATGAGGTGTGCCTCCCTCAAACCTTGTTACGACGTTGGCACATTACCCATCTGACGTGAAAAAAAAAATAAAACATAGCTTGTCTCCCTAAAATTTTGTAAGACTAGTGAAACTGTTCAAATAACCATCAAATAATAACATCTATGTAGTTTTGACTAACCTGAAAGAAAGCCCAATGCTACATGACAACTATGGATGTCCTCAGTTTTGTCAGAGCCTTGGTGACTCTGCTCAACACACTTTGGTCTGTTCTCCCTGAGGACATCGGAACATAACATCTAGTTCAAGAGAAAAATAATGCTATGAGAGGGAAGAGGTCAAGAATTCTTTTTTGGATTGGGGTGGTAACTTCCTTATTCACAAGCTATTCATTTAGAAAAAACGATATAGAAGTAGTTTCAGTATGGACATCTGGATGATGATGCGGGGAGCGGGATCCAGATGAACTAACTTTTAAAAAATAAAAATAAGTTCAATATCAGAGATTCTTGATTTTAAAAATAACAGGTTGCTGGCTCATAGAGTACGAGTTTGAGTGGAATTACACTTCACCCAAAATGTGATTTGGAGAGAAATGACACTGTAAAAAATGTTCCATTTCTAATTCAAGAACATGGTGGGTCTTTCTATTTATTCTCCTGAGTTTGTAAGTAAAGTTCTGAAGATGCCTGCTTTAGGCTCAGCTTGTTAATCATTAGGTTAATTAACTTCTAAGTAAATACAAATGGATTCCTGGAACTCAGTGCTCCCAAAGGAGCCCAAGTGAGCAAAGAGTATTTTTTCCTTTTTAAATTATGCATTTTCTAGTACAGTTCAGGAAGGAACAGGTTCTGCCAGTTCATATGACCTCAAATAAATCTACTTTTTAAAATGTTTACTGGGGGAAAGGCAAAAAGAGGAACACGTGGTTGTGTCTCACCATGTTGCTGGGGTGAAAATTTTAATGTGTCGCTAATCTGCTGATTTTCTCATTATTTTTGCTTCTTTGCAGTTCTACCATTAGACCATAGACTCTGCTGCAGAAGGTCCCACATTATCACAATAGCACACACACAAATCCTTAACACAAGAGTGTCTCTGATACTCAGGATCTGCTGAGACCCTAATAACCACTCCTGTGGTTAAAGGCTTTGAGTTCCCAGGATGCAGTTCTTCCTCCATGACACTTGTTCTGTCTTGGAAGCAAAAGGTAACTGAGAAATGCCATGAAGCAGAGGTTCTCCAACCTTTTGATTTAAAGCTCATAGCTCTTAAAAACTCAGGACCCTCAATAGAAGGAAAATATAAGTCACTGGCTGGAAGAAAATATTTGCAAAAGGCACATCTGATAAAGCACTATTACCAAAACATGCAAGGAACTCTTTAAACTATAATTAAAAAAAAAAACTAACCTGATTTAAAAATGGGCCAAAGGCCTTAACAGACACAACACCAAAGAAGATATATGTGACCATTGCTCCTGATATGTCAACTTCACTGGCTTAAGAAGCACCTGGCAGATTAAAGTGTGCTCACAGGTGTGTCTGGACGGGTTGTGGAGATGGCCTTGGGTACTACACATGGTCCCTCACTCATTTCTCCGGCCCTCTCTGGCTCTGCTCCCAGCCACCATGAACTAAGCACCATGAACTTGCACCATGTCCTTCTGCTGTGCTGTCTCTGCCTTGGATCCTACCAACTATGGACTGAATCTCCTGGAACTGTGAGCTAATTTAAACCTTTCCTTCTTTAAATCTTGGGTGTCAGGTATTATGTTTCAGGAATAGGAATTCTAGCACATACAATATACAAATGGCAAGTAAACACATGAAAAAATATCATATCATATGTTCCAATGGATAGTATGGATTATCAACATAATTGGAATGAAAGCCTCCTAGAAAATTGAGGAAGTGCACTTCTGCTGTCTGTGAGGGTGTTTTCCAGAGATAATTAGCTTGTGGCTCAGCAAACCAGGTGGAAAAGAACTGCCTTGAATGTAGGTGACACTGTCCAATAGGTGGGGACCCAGCTGCGACAACAAAGCCAAAGAAGGGGGAAGCTGGCATGTGCACACAGGCTGCACTTGCGAGCAGGTGCGTTGTCGGCTCCTGCTATTGCCCATGGAATCAGACCCCAGATTCTTCGGCCTTTGCACAGATTTGCATCGGCAATTCCCTAGAGGGCTTCCAGGCCTTCAGTCTTGGACTAAGGCTTATCACTGGTCTTTGTGGTTCTGAGGCTTTTGGTTTCCAGAGCTGAAAAGCTGCTGATTTCCCTGGCTCTCTATTCTGCAGATGTGCACTACAGAACTCTCCTACTTATGACCTTGTAAGCCAGTCTATACATCTCTTCCTACATATACATTCTATTGCTTCTGTTCCCCTGGACGACCCTTACTAATACACATATTATCGTGGAAATGTGAATTTAAAAACAATGAAATACCACTATGTACATATTAGAGTGGCCAAAATCTAGAATGCTCAGAATACCAAATGCAGGCAAGGATGTGGAGCAAAGGGGACTCTCATTCACTGCTGACGGGGATGTAAAATAATACAACCACTTTGGAAGACTATTTGGCAGTTTCTAACAAAACTAAGAATGCTCTTGCCATACAAGTAGCTATCATGCTCCTGGTAATTTACCTAAAGGAGCCGAAAACTTAAAGCTCACACAAAAACCTACACATGTATGTTTATAGCAGCTTTACTCATAATTGCCAAAACCCGGAAGCAACCAAGATGTCTTTCAGTAGGTGTTCAGCACTAAAAAAATGAGCTACCAAGACATGAAAAGACACAGAAGAAGCTTAAACACACATTATTGCATAAAAGCAGCTCATGCGAAAAGGATATTTACTACGATACCAGCTACATGATATGCAGATGCATCTCCCTTCCTTCCGCAGCCAGCATCCCAGCCCTGGCTTAGCACTACGTGGGTTCAGATACAGGGCTGACCCCTCTTGCCATTTCTGTCATTCCTGCCCCCAAATCTGCCTCAAGGTTTGATGGACTGGAGCCTAAGGTGACCACAGGAGACCTGGGGGCTACGCAGATGCACAAACACCTGTCCCCACCTCCAGGTGGTGTTCAGCCCTGGCCCGCTATCTGGTCTCACTGGTGTGTAGGCTGGGGCTGTCAGCCAAGTCCTGAGCTGTGAGCACCGGCGCAAGGGTCCACTGCGGGGAAAGAGAGAGTCCAGAACAGCAGAGTGAATTCCCCACAGCACAGCCTGGCCCTCGCTCTCCTGAGCCAGAATCACAGCCCTCATTTGGTGCCATCCGGACCTTAGCCCTCCTCCTGACCAAGGGACAGAGCCTAGACTGAAGGGAGAAAGGCAGAGAGCTGGCTCCCAAGTGTCACTGGCTCCTAGAGAGCAAAACTGCAATGTCCCTTCTACTCCTTGCCTCATTATAGGTTGAAGCTCAGCCTGGGGACTCCAACATGGGTCACAACCCTCCTGGCATGGACCATTTGCTTCCTTGGCCACCTGCTATGAGCCTGTCTTTTCAGCTGCTGGAGACTGTGTTGGAGAGACACCTCACCATAATGAATGAAGTGTAAATAAATGGAAGTTGTTATGGCTTGTTCTAGATGTTCCCCCCAAAGCCTCATGTGGTCATACACAGGGCTTTTCAGAGGTGGCTGGATCTAGAGTGTGCAATGCTACAGTTAAGTGTGTGATTCTGGGACTGAGAGTGTATGATTACTAAATTAGTGCACCGATTGGTTTGGCATAGTTCTGGGTAGGATTAAGTGTGCTCCATCTTGGGTGTGAGTTCTACCTTCACTAAGGACATGTAGCCTGCCTTGATAGTATATAAGGGACAGGAAGAGGTTGCCGTGGTCATCTGCTACTTCACTACTTTGCTGCCTTCTACCCATCATAAACTGCTTCTCCTCTTTTTTGGTTTTTCTCCGGTACCAGGAACCGAACTCACGACCTTGCGCTTGCCAGGCAGGTGCTTTGCCGCTGAGCTAAATCCCCAGCCCCACTGCTTCTCCTCTGCAACGCCCCTCTGCTGTGCCACTCTGCTTTGGAGCCAGTTAACTATGGACTGAAACCTCTACAGACTGTGAGCTAAATAAACCTTTCCCCCTTTAACTTTAGGTGTTGGGTATTTTATCTCAGCAACTCTCTTGGTAACTTTTCTCTCATCACTGGGACAAAATACCCAATGCCCAAAATTAAGGAAGGAAAGGTTTATTTAGCTCACAGTTTATGGAGTTTTCAGTCCATAATCAGCTGGCTCCAAGGCAGAGTGGCACATGGCAGAGGGCAACAGTTCATGGCGGGGGAAAGACAACAAAAGCAACAAGAACAAAAGGAGGAACAAGAGAAGACTCTTTCTATCCCTTATATTGTATGTAGGCTACCCACCCTAGGGTGGACGTAGCACTCACACCCATAATCCCAGCACTAGACAATGAATCAATCACAAAGTGTAGATTCAGCTGCCATGACTGCATGAAGCTTTGGGGGTACATCTAGACAAAAACCATAACAGCAACAAAAAAGTAAAACACAGAATCCTTGATCTCTGCTTCCCACACCCTGAGTTTTTTCTTCAGTACTGACTGGCTCTCCTGCACTGGAAACTCACTGCCTCTGCCCCTCACACCCTCAAGAACTCAACTGATCCAACCTCATTCCCAAGGCTCACCCACTGTCACAGCTTAGCCCCATGGATGTGTGCCTCTCCCCAGCCTAACCCTTTCATACTTCACCCCTGCCCCTGATTTGCCTGGGGTCTATCCAGAGAGAAACACTAAGGCCACAGCTGTAGAACTGCACCGACCCACTCAGAGCTCGTTCCTCTGACCCTTTAGTCACAATACATCTGGCTGTATTCCAAGTGT